AGTGAGGCGGCGGACCCCGTACTTGATGATGAGGAGGTTGATCGCACTTGGCTGCCTCGTCGTCATCAGGCAATTTCTTCCGCATCATCAGGAGAAGAGGGTGCCAGCTTGGCAGCGAGCGAAACAGTCGGTGGGTTGCCCAGGAGGCAGCAGGGTCGCATCAGTGTCAGTGGAGCCAAACGTCCACGGTAGTAGACCAGCTCCACTGCAGCCTACCACCACGGCCAGTAGTGTGGTGCCGTGTGCGCACGGAGGAAGTAGCAGTCAGCCAGTGAAGAGTAGCGGGGGCAAAGTTTCCTACTCGGTGGTTGTGGCAATTTTTCGTCAAGCCGCCCGAGGAAGTAAACGTAGCCGTATGTCGACTATGTGGCCAGAAATGCAAGCGTGGCCAGGGGGCCCATGTTGGGACTACAGCGTTGCGTCAGCATATGCAGCGTCACCATTCGGTGGCCTGGGAAAAACCCGTGATAAAGATACGGCGGTTCTGCCTGCCCCAGCCCCCGCTCCATCACCCGCTCCGTTACTTGCTCCGTCACCCGACGTCGTCAATCACCCTCTATCAGCCAGTCAAGGCTCCAACACCTCTGCTGAGGGAGGGGAGTTGTCGCTCGTTGGCATCTTCCGCTCGTTCAGATGATGCTCTCTCCTGCTACTCCTCTTCTCGGATTCCGTCAACAGTCTTTCTTGGAATCCGTATCCAAGAGACAACAGTTTGCGAGCACGCACCCGACGGTGCAAAAGCTGAACGTCCTCCTGTCCAAGTTGCTGGTGCTGCTGCAGTCCCTCCCTCCCTTTCCAACTGGTGGACTCAGCACCTTTCCGAGAAATGATGGCTTGTGCCGCGCCGCGGTGGAGAGTGCCAAGCCGTCATTTCTTTGCCCAAAAGGCAGTGCCAGCCCTGCATTCACATGTAGAAGAGATGGTGGGCCAGTCTTTGAGCATGTCGGTCTCTGCCAAAGTGCACGGCAGCGCCGACGTGTGGAGCTGTAACTACGGTCAGGGACAGTACATGTCATTTACGGCCCACTGGGTGAACGTGGTGCCGGCACAGCCGCACCAGCAACTTGGACAGGTCACGACGCTTTTGCCTCCACGTTTGCACGTCCTTGGTCCAGCAAGCATGTCCGCCTCTACCACCTCTTTTTCCGCCGTGTCCTCAGCCGCCACCCCCGTGCCAAGTCCCATTACCCGACCGGCATATCACATGTGCAGGGCGCAACGGTGTCACGCTGTGCTGCACCTGGTATGCCTTGGCGAACGTAGTCACACAGGGGAGGAACTTCTGAGTGTAAATGAACAGAGAAATCGACAGATGGCTGTCTCCGCGCAAACTGAAAATCGGAACCATGTTGACTGACAAACGGAAAGAACATGGTGTCTGCTCTGCGTCAAGGAAGGTTGTGCCATGCGCCATGCATGGCTCACGTGTTCAATCTGGTTGTCAAGCGGTTCCTAAAATCCACCATCCCACTGCAAGACATCCTTAAAATGTCACGTAAACTGTGCATGCATTTCAGCCATTCCTACACCGCAAAGAACACCCTCATTGAGCTGCAGCGGCAGAACGGAATTCCACAGCATCGCCTGATCTGCGACGTTGCAACAAGGTGGAATTCAACCCTACACATGTTAGACCGCCTTTACGAGCAGCGAAAGGCCATCACCGATTTCCTGATGTTACAAGCGGATAAAGGTACTCCCCTGTGTAACTTAGATGTCAGCCATTGGCAGCTCATGCGTGACACCTGCCGCTTGCTCAGGCCCTTTGAGGAGGCCACGCTATTCGTGAGTCGGCAGGACTATGGGATGAACGACGTCATTCCTCTGTTGCACGTCCTGGAACAAATGCTGTTAACAATGGCTGGTCAGGGTGCGGTAGACGTGGCGCACAGATCTCAACGCCACATGACCCCTGTGGGGGCAGGACAGGAAGAAGAGGAGGAGGTAGAGGAGGACATTTGTGCTCAGGAATTATTGAGTGAAATGGGTGGTTTTTCCACTCAGCGGACAGGAGTGGAGGAGCAGGAGCATCTGGTAGAGGAGGAGGAGGAGGAGGAGACAGAGGACCCAGACGCACCGTGGCAGTATGCTGTGGAGATGGAGGCAGGGAGTCCCTCGCATTCCTTGGCACAAATGGCCCATAGCATGCTCGGTTGCTTGCGTAGCGTAGCGACAGCCGAATAATAACCATCAGACAGAGGGATGACTTTTGGCTGTCCACCTTGTTGGACCCTCGCTACCGGTCCAAAATGGTGGCCTTTTCACACCTGCTGAGAGGGAGGCCAAAATTACGTACTATAAAAACCACCTATGTAGTCAGTTGGTCTCTGCCTTTGTGCGCCAACGTCCATCCTCAGACACTGTGGGCCCTGTGCGCTCGCGTTCCGCTGGCATGGCAGCAGGGGAGGGGGTGGGGTGGTAGGAGCAGTGGCAGCTCCACCAGCAGCGGCTGCCTCAGTCTGCAGTCGATGATGAGTAGCTTTCTTCACCAGCGCAGTGAGGAAACTACTAACCAGCCGCGCAGCAGCAGCAGCAGCATCAGGTGGACCTGGAGCAGGAGCAAACAACAGGCTTGGGCCTACTTGGACAGCACCCTGCCAACCGAGGTAGACAATCCCCTTGACTACTGGGCAACGAAACTTGACCTTTGGCCCCAACTAGCTGAATTTGCCCTTGAAAGGCTGTCATGCCCGGCCAGTAGCGTGGCATCGGAGCGCGTGTTTAGTGCGGCAGGAGGTATTGTAACTCCGCGGAGGACACGCTGTGTCCACCCAAAGTGTGGAGAGACTCACGTTTGTGAAAATGAATCAGGCGTGGATTAGTCTGGATTTCAAACCACCAGTTCCTGACACAACTGACTAAATCCGCCATGAATCATGCCTCAAACATGTGCCACTTTCAGGTCTCCTCACACACTGCTGGTGTGTTGAATTTTTTGACATAGGGGTGCTGGCAGATTACGGGCCTCCTATAGCTGCTGCCAGGCCCCTAATCTGCCATAGGCCCCTATATACCACCTCCTCCTCTGCTGCTGCCAGGTCCAGAGTCTCTCATGGGTCCCTGTACGGCCTCCCATTGCTGCTGTCTCCATCGCCACACTCTGCTGCCATGTGCCACTTTCAGGTCTCCTCACACTGCTGGTGTGTTGAATTTTTTGACATAGGGTGCTGCAGCAGATTACGGGCCTCACATAGCTGCTGCTGCCAGGCCCCTAATCTGCCATGGGCCCCCTATATACCGCCTCCTCATGCTGCTGCCAGTCCAGAGTTCTCATGGGTCCCTGTACGGCCTCCCATTGCTGCTGTCTCCATCGCCACACTCTGCCATGTGCCACTTTCAGGGTCTCTTCACACTGCTGGTGTGTTGAATTTTTTGACATAGGGTGCTGGCAGATTACGGGCCTCACATAGCTGCTGCCAGGCCCCTAATCTGCCATGGGCCCCTATATACCGCCTCCTCATGCTGCTGCCAAGTCCAGAGTCTCTCATGGGTCCCTGTACGGCCTCCCATTGCTGCTGTCTCCATCGCCACACTCTGCCATGTGCCACTTTCAGGTCTCTTCACACTGCTGGTGTGTTTAATTTTTTGACATAGGGTGCTGGCAGATTACGGGCCTCACATAGCTGCTGCCAGGCCCCTAATCTGCCATGGGCCCCTATATACCGCCTCCTCATGCTGCTGCCAAGTCCAGAGTCTCTCATGGGTCCCTGTACGGCCTCCCATTGCTGCTGTCTCCATCGCCACACTGCTGATGTGCCACTTTCAGGTCTCTTCACACTGCTGGTGTGTTAATTTTTTGACATAGGGTGGCAGATTACGGGCCTCACATAGCTGCTGCCAGGCCCCTAATCTGCCATGGGCCCCTATATACCGCCTCCTCATGCTGCTGCCAAGTCCAGAGTCTCTCATGGGTCCCTGTACGGCCTCCCATTGCTGCTGTCTCCATCGCCACACTCTGCTGCCATGTGCCACTTTCAGGTCTCTTCACACTGCTGGTGTGTTTGAATTTTTTGACATAGGGTGCTGGCAGATTACGGGCCTCACATAGCTGCTGCCAGGCCCCTAATCTGCCATGGGCCCCTATATACCGCCTCCTCATCATGCTGCTGCCAAGTCTAGAGAGTCTCTCATGGGTCCCTGTACGGCCCCATTGCTGCTGTCTCCATCGCATCACACACTGCTGCCATGTGCCACTTTCAGGTCTCTTCACACTGCTGTGTGTGTTTAATTTTTTGACATAGGGTGCTGGCAGATTACGGGCCTCACATAGCTGCTGCCAGGCCCCTAATCTGCCATGGGCCCCTATATACCGCCTCCTCATGCTGCTGCCAAGTCAGAGTCTCTCATGGGTCCCTGTACGGCCTCCCATTGCTGCTGTCTCCATCGCCACACTCTGCTGCCATGTGCCACTTTCAGGTCTCTTCACACTGCTGGTGTGTTTAATTTTTTGACATAGGGTGCTGCAGATTACGGGCCTCACATAGCTGCTGCCAGGCCCCTAATCTGCCATGGGCCCCTATATACCGCCTCCTCATGCTGCTGCCAAGTCCAGAGTCTCTCATGGGTCCCTGTACGGCCTCCCATTGCTGCTGTCTCCATCGCCACACTCTCTGCCATGTGCCACTTTCAGGTCTCTTCACACTGCTGGTGTGTTTAAATTTTTTGACATAGGGTGCTGGCAGATAACGGGCCTCACATAGCTGCTGCCAGGCCCCTAATCTGCCATGGGCCCCCTATATACCGCCTCTCATGCTGCTGCTGCCAAGTCTAGAGTCTCTCATGGGTCCCTGTACGGCCTCCCATTGCTGCTGTCTCCATCGCCACACTCTGCTGCCATGTGCCACTTTCAGGTCTCTTCACACTGCTGCTGGTGTGTTTAAATTTTTTGACATAGGGGTGCTGCAGATTACGGGCCTCACATAGCTGCTGCCAGGCCCCTAATCTGCCATGGGCCCCTATATACCGCCGCCCTCCTGCTGCTGCTGGCCCCAGAGTCTCTCATGGGTCCCTGTACGGCCTCCCATTGCTGCTGTCTCCATCGCCACACTCTGCCATGTGCCACTTTCAGGTCTCTCACACTGCTGGTGTGTTGAATTTTTTGACATAGGGTGCTGGCAGATTACGGGCCTCCATAGCTGCTGCCAGGCCCCTAATCTGCCATGGGCCCCTATATACCGCCTCCTCATGCTGCTGCAGGTCCAGAGTCTCTCATGGGTCCCTGTACGGCCTCCCATTGCTGCTGTCTCCATCGCCACTCTGCCATGTGCCACTTTCAGGGTCTCTCACACTGCTGTGTGTTAATTTTTTTTTTGACATAGGGTGCAGGCAGATTAACGGGCCTCCCTATAGCTGCTGCCAGGCCCCTAATCTGCCATGGGCCCCTATATACCGCCTCCTCATGCTGCTGCCAGGTCCAGAGTCTCTCATGGGTCCATGGGTGTACGGCCTCCCATTGCTGCTGTCTCCATCGCCACACTCTGCCATGTGCCACTTTCAGGTCTCTTCTCACACTGCTGGTGTGTTGAATTTTTTGACATAGGGTGCTGGCAGATTACGGGCCTCCATATGCTGCTGCTGCCAGGCCCCTAATCTAATCTGCCATGGGCCCCCGTACCGCCTCCTCATGCTGCTGCTTGCAACAGTGTCTCTCATTCTCCCCTGTACGCCGCCCGAACTGCTAAAGGCCATCACAGATTTCCTGATGCCAGCGGGATAAAGGTACTCCCTGTGTAACACTCCTGTCAGCCATTGTCATTCATGCACACCTGCGCTTGCTCAGGCCCTTTGAGGCTGCTGCCAGGCCCCTATTCGTGCCATGGGGCCAGGCCTATGGGATGAATCCATAGGTCCTCAAGGCCCATATCGGCCATGGGCCCCCGTACCTCCTGGTCACGCTGCTGCTGAGCCCACAGTGTGACCTGGGTCCCTGTACGGCCTCCCATTGCTTCCACTCTGCCATGTGCCACTTTGAAGGTCTCCTCACACTCCTGCGGTTGTCCATTTTGTCATAGGTTGCTGGCAGATTACAGGCCTCCCATAGGTGCCGCCAGGCCCCATATCGGCCATGGGCCCCCCCGTACCTCCTGGTCACGCTGCTGCTGCCCCCACAGTGTGACCTGGGTCCCTGTACGGCCTCCCATTGCTTCCACTCTGCCATGTGCCACTTTGAGGTCTCCTCACACTCCTGCGGTTGTCCATTTTTTGTCATAGGTTGCTGGCAGATTACAGGCCTCCCATAGGTGCCGCCAGGCCCCATATCGGCCATGGGCCCCCGTACCTCCTGGTCACGCTGCTGCTGGTCCCACAGTGTGACCTGGGTCCCTGTACGGCCTCCCATTGCTTCCACTCTGCCATGTGCCACTTTGAATCTCTCTCCTCACACTCCTGCGGTTGTCCATTTTGTCATAGGTTGCTGGCAGATTACAGGCCTTCCATAGGTGCCGCCAGGCCCCATATCGGCCATGGGCCCCCGTACCTCCTGGTCACGCTGCTGCTGGTCCCACAGTGTGACCTGGGTCCCTGTACGGCCTCCCATTGCTTCCACTCTGCCATGTGCCACTTTGAAATCTCCTCACACTCCTGCGGTTGTCCATTTTGTCATAGGTTGCTGGCAGATTACAGGCCTCCCATAGGTGCCGCCAGGCCCCATATCGGCCATGGGCCCCCGTACCTCCTGGTCACGCTGCTGCTGGTCCCACAGTGTGACCTGGGTCCCTGTACGGCCTCCCATTGCTTCCACTCTGCCATGTGCCACTTTGAAATCTCCTCACACTCCTGCGGTTGTCCATTTTGTCATAGGTTGCTGGCAGATTACAGGCCTTCCATAGGTGCCGCCAGGCCCCATATCGGCCATGGGCCCCCGTACCTCCGCCTGGTCACGCTGCTGCTGAGCCCACAGTGTGACCTGGGTCCCTGTACGGCCTCCCATTGCTTCCACTCTGCCATGTGCCACTTTGAGGTCTCCTCACACTCCTGCGGTTGTTTCCATTTTGTCATAGGTTGCTGGCAGATTACAGGCCTTCCATAGGTGCCGCCAGGCCCCATATCGGCCATGGGCCCCCGTACCTCCTGGTCACGCTGCTGCTGAGCCCACAGTGTGACCTGGGTCCCTGTACGGCCTCCCATTGCTTCCACTCTGCCATGTGCCACTTTGAGGTCTCCTCACACTCCTGCGGTTGTCCATTTTGTCATAGGTTGCTGGCAGATTACAGGCCTTCCATAGGTGCCGCCAGGCCCCATATCGGCCATGGGCCCCCGTACCGCCTGGTCACGCTGCTGCTGGCCCCCACAGTGTGACCTGGGTCCCTGTACGGCCTCCCATTGCTTCCACTCTGCCATGTGCCACTTTGAGGTCTCCTCACACTCCTGCTGGTTTCCATTTTGTCATAGGTTGCTGGCAGATTACAGGCCTTCCATAGGTGCCGCCAGGCCCCATATCGGCCATGGGCCCCCGTACCTCCTGGTCACGCTGCTGCTGAGCCCACAGTGTGACCTGGGTCCCTGTACGGCCTCCCATTGCTTCCACTCTGCCATGTGCCACTTTGAGGTCTCCTCACACTCCTGCGGTTTTCCATTTTGTCATAGGTTGCTGGCAGATTAGCGGCCTTCCATAGGTGCCGCCAGGCCCCATATCGGCCATGGGCCCCCGTACCTCCTGGTCACGCTGCTGCTGGGCCCACAGTGTGACCTGGGTCCCTGTACGGCCTCCCATTGCTTCCACTCTGCCATGTGCCACTTTGAATCTCTCCTCACACTCCTGCGGTTGTCCATTTTGTCATAGGTTGTGGCAGATTAGCGGCCTTCCATAGGTGCCGCCAGGCCCCATATCGGCCATGGGCCCCCGTACCTCCTGGTCACGCTGCTGCTGAGCCCACAGTGTGACCTGGGTCCCTGTACGGCCTCCCATTGCTTCCACTCTGCCATGTGCCACTTTGAGGTCTCCTCACACTCCTGCGGTTGTCCATTTTGTCATAGGTTGCTGGCAGATAGCAGGCCTTCCATAGGTGCCGCCAGGCCCCATATCGGCCATGGGCCCCCGTACCGCCTGGTCACGCTGCTGCTGAGCCCACAGTGTGACCTGGGTCCCTGTACGGCCTCCCATTGCTGCTGCCTGGAGGCAGCAGGGTCGCAGCTTTGTCAGTGGAGGCAAACGGCCACGGAGTAGAGCAGCAGCTCCACTGCAGCCTACCACCACAGCCAGTAGTGGTGCCGGTGTGCACGGAGGAAGTAGCAGTCAGCCAGTGAGGAGTAGCGGGTGCAAAGTTTCCTACTCGGCGCGGTGTGGCAAGTTTTCGTCAAGCCCCGAGGAAGTAAACGTAGCCTAATGTCGACTATGTGGCCAGAAAGTCAAGCGTGGCCTGGGGGGCCCATGTTGGGACTACAGCGTTGCGTCAGCATATGCAGCGTCGCCATTCGGTGGCCTGTGAAAAACGTGATAAAGATACGGCGGTCCTGCCTGCCCCAGCCCAGGGTTCCATTTTGTCATAGGTTGCTGGCAGATTAGCGGCTTCCATAGGTGCCGCCAGGCCCCATATCGGCCATGGGCCCCCGTACCTCCTGGTCACGCTGCTGCTGAGCCCACAGTGTGACCTGGGTCCCTGTACGGCCTCCCATTGCTTCCACTCTGCCATGTGCCACTTTGAGGTCTCCTCACACTCCTGCGGTTGTCCATTTTGTCATAGGTTGCTGGCAGATTACAGGCCTTCCATAGGTGCCGCCAGGCCCCATATCGGCCATGGGCCCCCGTACCTCCTGGTCACGCTGCTGCTGCTGGGCCCACAGTGTGACCTGGGTCCCTGTACGGCCTCCCATTGCTTCCACTCTGCCATGTGCCACTTTGAGGTCTCTCCTCACACTCCTGCGGCGGTTGTCCATTTTGTCATAGGTTGCTGGCAGATTAGCGGCCTCCCATAGTGCCGCCAGGCCCCATATCGGCCATGGGCCCCCGTACCTCCTGGTCACGCTGCTGCTGAGCCCACAGTGTGACCTGGGTCCCTGTACGGCCTCCCATTGCTTCCACTCTGCCATGTGCCACTTTGAAATCTCCTCACACTCCTGCGGTTGTCCATTTTGTCATAGGTTGCTGGCAGATTACAGGCCTTCCATAGTGCCGCCAGGCCCCATATCGGCCATGGGCCCCCGTACCTCCTGGTCACGCTGCTGCTGGGAGCCCACAGTGTGACCTGGGTCCCTGTACGGCCTCCCATTGCTTCCACTCTGCCATGTGCCACTTTGAAATCTCCTCACACTCCTGCGGTTGTCCATTTTGTCCATAGGTTGCTGGCAGATTAGCGGCCTCCCATAGGTGCCGCCAGGCCCCATATCGGCCATGGGCCCCCGTACCTCCTGGTCACGCTGCTGCTGAGCCCACAGTGTGACCTGGGTCCCTGTACGGCCTCCCATTGCTTCCACTCTGCCATGTGCCACTTTGAAATCTCCTCACACTCCTGCGGTTGTCCATTTTGTCATAGGTTGCTGGCAGATTACAGGCCTTCCATAGGTGCCGCCAGGCCCCATATCGGCCATGGGCCCCCGTACCTCCTGGTCACGCTGCTGCTGGGCCCACAGTGTGACCTGGGTCCCTGTACGGCCTCCCATTGCTTCCACTCTGCCATGTGCCACTTTGAAATCTCCTCACACTCCTGCGGTTTGTCCATTTTGTCATAGGTTGCTGGCAGATTACAGGCCTTCCATAGGTGCCACCAGGCCCCATATCGGCCATGGGCCCCCGTACCTCCTGGCTGGGTCCCTGTACCGCCTCCCATTGCTCCCACTCTGCCATGTGCCACTTTCAGGTCTCCTCACGCTCCTGCTGGTTTCCATTTTGTCATAGGTTGCTGTATGGCCTCCCATTGCTGCTGGCTCCACCGCCACACTGTGGCTCCAAACACTGGTTTTGGCCCCGTGACTGGCCAAAGGAGTGAAGTGTGCAGTGATTCTAAGATCGACGGCACTCATCTGCATGTCATACTGACTGACAGTATTATTTCTCTTCCCCAGCAGACTCCAAGGGCATTTAAATTAAAGGTACAGTGTTCTGCACTAATATTAAGTCTCTCTGAAGCCTAGAAACACCCTTTTTTAAGTTAAATTCACAGCGAATTTATTCGACTCGAATCGAATATTGTCCACGAATTCGCCGAATCAGTCGAATCGAATTTTTCATTTCTTCGAGATTAAAATTTCTTGCCTGATTTAATATGCACACATTCTAATGTATCTCACTCATTGCTGATACAATTTCTCAGTATTAGAGGGTGGAGTGGCTTGTGTCTTTACTATCTAAAGTCAAATAATGTACATGTTGTTATAATACTATTTATTTTGAACAATCTCAGACAGTGGCACTGTGAAATGCTGACTATGAAAATTACACCAATTTGACACCTATTTACCTGTTGGTTTTGATGCTGTAGTGGTTGTAGTGGTGGATGTACCTAAAAGACAAAATGCATCATGGTAAACGTCACATGTGCTATATTAGAGGGAAGTTCAAATCTTTAGCTACTAAAAATAAAAAAAAGAAAGACAAGCTTTGATGAAATCTCTGAGGAGATAAAAAGATAAATACAAACACTTATGACTACTGTTATGAAATACAGTATATTATACAAATATATTTTCATTGATGCAGACATTTCTCACATGTAGGCAGTGAATCAGTTTGAAAACTTTGTTAATCTGGAAATATATGAGGGCCTCCCTAATAAACCAAAATGTAACATAAAACAGAGTAACATGCACTTAATAGTGTTTTAAAGCTATGAGTTTTGTAAAGCACAATAAAAAATATATATAATGAGAGGTGTAGTAAATACCTAAATACTTCAGTTGAAGAACTCTAGTTTAGCTAGGAGGCGCTAGAGTCCTGATTGTTAGTAAAGAAGGCTGAGTAGCAACCTGGGTTTAATAGTCAGAAGATCAAACTGTGGTCGGGAGCTGAGAGGCTCTGCAGGTCAGCCCCTCTGGAATTTCCCCCTGATCTAGGGCTTTTGGAGGAAGGCTCTAGAGACAGTGGGTGGATCTGAGGAGTGGCTGGTTGCACTTTTGAGGTATCCTAGCCAATCCCTAACAACTTGGCAAGGGGCTGGACACCCTTAAAAGTGTTGGAGCCTGCTCAGTGGCAGGAGAGTTGGAGGGAGAGCTCGGGTCGAAGATAGAGTGGAATATGTAAGGCAGAAGGTAGGAGGCTGTGAGGAGACCTGCAGGCTTGGAGCTGGAAAGCAGGAAACCTCAGAGATCACCGGCCCCCTGAGAGAGAGCAACCTGTATGGCAGGAAAGGAGTAGCCCATCTGATAGGCCTGGTAGCAGCCACCAACCCACAAGCGGAACATGAGAGGATTTGAGTGAGTACACCTAC